TCCATGAAAATGGGAGAATTGCAATTCAATGGAATTGCAATTCCCTCCAACCAAACTACGGAATTTAATGGCCTTTGGAATTAGGTGGGAATTAAATGGGAAGAGAATTTAAAATCCCTCCAACCAAACGCCCTGTAATATGTTAATATTGTGTGACTGCAGTATTTGAAAGAAACTTGTGAATACAAAACAATCTAATCAATTACATATATATTAACATTATGTATTCGTAGTATACAGATTGTGAATTTTTAAAAGATAGATTGTGAACATTTAAACTCAATCCATCTCGCAAAGTGGACCCGGGTCCACAGAATAATTTGCGTGGTCATTAATATACATGATATATTTTAGTAGAGATGTAATTAATTATAATTGATATGATAGTAAATGATTACTCCAAAAATTTTGGATTATTTTGTATTTATCCTTTGATTTCGGTTACATTGGATTTTGATTATGTAGGGGGGAGGGGGGAGTCTTTTTGGCACATTTGTCCATATTCATTATTATTACGTTACTATTCCCACAAAAAGACCAATCATTATTCATTATTGTGTGGACCATCGTCCACACAAACTATATGAACCATATTTTGTATATTGTAAATAATGTACATTCAATACAAAAACTAATGTATTTTTAATTTATTAAAAATGTACATTATATATAGGTGATGTACATTATTTGTGTACTATGTATATATTATATTATATAATGTACATTTAATACACAAATAATATACATTTAATATATTAAAAATGTATTTTTTGTTATGGTCCACACAATAATTTGCCACGAACCACATGCACTCTTGTTGTATAAAAGCAGGACGGATAGGAGTAATGAATTAGCATTGGTGTTAAAGCAGATGGACAAAATGTCAAAGGTTTCAGCTTTAGCTTTAACATTAATGGTGTGTTTCGTGGGTTTTGGTGTTCCTGGGTCAATTGTCAATGGACAAGAGGAAGAAAAGGTTGGGTTCTATGAGATTAAGAAAGGAGATTTCTCCCTCAAATTTACAAACTTCGGTGCAAAGATCGTCTCCGTTATCCTTCCTGATAAAAACGGTATATATATACATATATTATATCTGCACTTCAATATATATATATATGTGTTGGAACATATATATGGGAGCGTTTCGAAATCTTAATTTAATTTGTGTTTTTGTTTTGTTTTGTTTTCCTGCAGGAAACTTGACAGATGTTGTTCTTGGGTATGACACCATTGATGAGTACTTGGTGAGTTATGATTATATTGATTATGGATTTCTAAGCTTCTTCATAAACATTTCTTCAATTCTTCTTTCTCGAAAGGTTAAATCTTCAATCCCATAATTCCTCATACTCCAATCGACAGGGTATGGAAGAGCATGTATCATTTTGGACATAATTCTTAAATATCTTTGCTTAGTTTCGAATCTTGGTCTCTTTTCTTAAATACTATTTTCTGAATTTGTGAATTAATCCCGCTCTTTCAATTCTGCACAAATATAATGCATTTCTTCATTGCTTTTAAATGCACTAGGTCAACGACGACCTTCATGGATCATGAATTAGTTGGAGATGAAGTAGTCTGCGTGTTTTTTTATTTGTTGGAAATTGGAATTGTCAAAGTAAACCATATAATTAATTATGATTGAAAAATGAGAATTATATTATATAATATAATAATATTGTGCAGAATGACACATCAAACTTTGGGGCCATTGTTGGAAGAGTGGCCAATAGGATTGCTGGTGCTAAGTTCACTTTGAATGGTACCCTCTACAAGCTTATTCCTAACAGTGGCAACAACACTATTCATGGTACATATCCTAACTTCCCTATTAAACCATTGTCTTATCTTCATTTTATTCCATCCGGTTGAGTAGAAAAGACTCATTCATCGTTAACTTAAAGTTAATGGTTCAGTCTTTTTTTTTTATTACAAGGGAAGCGATACCCAAACTACTAAACACCTCCAATGAAACACAAACCTATCACCTCCCATTTAGGAGAGCAACCAGATACCATTAGACCACAAAGTACTTTGTAATGATTCAATTTTTTGTTTTGGGTTGAACAATTCAGTCAGATAATTAGTATCTATGTCCCAAGTGAAAATCTGGTACACACACACAAAAAAAAAAAAAAAAAGAATAATCTTAATTTTATTCCAAAAGGGTATTAGCGTTATGATCTGCGCCATATTAAGTATCAATCCCGCCTGTTGCGGACACTCTTGCTGTCGGTGGGATTTAGGAAAATTAAAAGAAGTATTTCTTTTGTTCAATATTTAAATTTTATTTGGTGTGACATATTGTGATTAATTATTTGTCAAAATATAAGATTTTTTAACCAATTTGATTGGCGTTAGTGGTTATGAGCTCTCATCCTTTAAATGTTTTAAAATGTGTCTTTTATAGCTAGGATTTACTTAGGCATTGTGTCCTTTAATTGAACACTTTATCGATATAAACGTTTTTTTAGAAAATAAAATAAAATTTAGAGTACCTATAGTGTTGCTCGGTGAATTGTGAAGCCTGATTTTTTACTTTTGAAACTAGTACAAGAAAAAGCTTGAAATGAAATCAGAATATTTTTAAAAATCTTGCATATGTAGTTTTTGGTTCCTAGAATGGAAAAACTTTGATAAGAATCTTAAGATTTCGATTATTAACCGAAACTATGGTAATAATTTTGTTTCCAATAATAACCTATTCAATTTGGTTTGATTCAAATTGGTAGTGCAAGTGCACAACTATCTAGTGGTGGGACAAAAGAAAGTGACATATAATAATGCCTCATTTATCAAATGTTCCCTCATATCTCCTATCAAATACGGAGTATATAACATGGAATTTTTATCTTTTGCGTGAATAATTATGTAATTACTTTTTCTTTTAATCTTACTTTTTAATCCCATCTTACATGATATGTATTAATTAAGAGTAAATACCCAAAATGGTCCATCGACTATAGCTAAATTCACAATTTGGTCCTCAACTTTCAATTTCACCCAATTAAGTCCTTAACTTTGTAATTTTAACACAATTTGGTCCTCTGTCTATTTGACCGTTTGTTGACTGTGATTTTTGAGGATATATATGTAATTTCATGGTCCATCGTCGGTTTTTTAAGGTTCCGGTTGCATTTCTAGACCGCACTGTTACATTTGAATCCACTATCGAAAGCAATCTACCAAACCCGGTCACCTTCTTCATCCCCCCTTTGGATTCAATGTAGTTGAATTCGTACCAAAGCGAAGAAGACGACGTGTTTCCGAACCGGTGCAACGTCATCCTGGAGGCCTCCACGTGCTCCGACGAGAGCTGAAGGTTCTTCTAGAGATCGTCGATCACGGTCAACAAATGGTCAATTAGATGGAGGACCAAATCGTGTCAAAATTGCAAACTTAAGGACTTAATTGGGTGAAATTGAAAGTTGAGGACCAATTTGTGAATTTAGCTATAGTCGAGGGACCATTTTGAGTATTTACTCATTAATTAATTAGCTCAATAATAAAATAAAATAAAAATGTTGCGCCTCACACAATAAATAACGTCCCTTTTTCAATTTTGGTGGGACCGAAAGATAAAAAATCACTCTTTGCTGGATCTTCTCTCTCTTCTGTCAATTTTTTTTTTTTTAATTGAGCAAAAATCACTATTATGATTACTTTAGCGTAATACATTAAATTTAGGCAGTCCAACATTTAATGAATTTTGGCTAAATTTAGATTATATTTTGTGTGAACCCAATTCAACGTAGGTGGTCCCAAAGGATTTGGCAAACTTGCGTGGAAGGTTGAAGAGCACGTGCCCAATGGTCCACAACCTCGCATTACCTTCACCTACCACAGCCCAGATGGTGATCAAGGTCAGCAAAATAAATCCACTTTATCTGTCTCATTTTATCTATCTTATTTATTATGTATTAGTCAAATCAATTCTTTCATTTTTTATTTTATTTAAAAAAAATATTTTTTATATTTAATAGTATTTTAATATAATTTTTAAAAATTAATTAAAAATTATTTCAATTAAGTCTCATTTATCAAATCAGACATTGAAGGAATAGTATAGTTTCTTCTTGTTTTTGAGATATTAAACTTGTGACAAAAAAGTAGAATTGTCCACTTTGAACGACCTCAAGATCCTTACCTGATAGTTTGTGGAGGGATTAATTATGGTGACTGAACTGAAATCTTAAATTTACTTGAATGTAGGATTTCCTGGGGATGTTATTGCCTCTGTAACCTATGCTATAAAGGAGCCTCACCAGTTGATTATAGACATGAAGGCAAAAGCTCTGAACAAGGCAACTCCAGTGAACCTTGCCCAGCATACCTACTGGAACCTTGGAGGCCATGGCAGTGGCGATATCTTATCCGAAAAGCTTCAATTATTTGCATCTCACATCACCACTGTGGACGAGAAGCTAATCCCCACAGGAGAGATTGCACCAATCAACAACACAGCCTATGATTTCCTTAAACCCCGAGACATCGGGACACAACTCAATAAACTCCCTGAACCTGCACCCGGTAGGGTGCGCGGTTTTGACAATAACTATGTTATTGATGGTGATGGTGAGGGGATGAAAGAAGTGGCGATAGTGTACGATGAAAAGACGGGGATAAGGATGGAGCTTAAGGCGAATTCGCCCGGGGTTCAGCTCTTTACGGCTAACAGCTTGAAGGATAAGAAGGGCAAAGGTGGAGCAGTGTACCAGTCTCATGCTGCTGTTTGCTTGGAGACTCAGGGCTTCCCAGATGCTGTGAATCACCCTAATTTCCCCTCCACTATAGTTACTCCAACTCGCCCCTATCATCACTCCATGTTCGTTACTTTCACGACAAACAAACGATTCTAGATCATTTGGTACTGACCTGTTGGGCGGAGGCCAGTGAAGGGTCAAGTCCAGCATCAGGTGGCTAGGGATCAGGCACCCTGCCTCTAGAAAATGTGACGATATTAGGAAATAAAGTTGTACCTTAGATCAAATGAAATAATAAACATGCTTCTTTAACCTCACAATGAGAAAATGTTAGCATTCTTGTAAACGAATACTAGGTTTTGGTGATCTATTGTTATATGGAGAGGAAAGACGAGGGGCATTCGGTGCAGGTATAGAGAGGCTCCGAGCTGGCCGCCTTTTTTGTAATGCTAATCCTGCTTCTAGCCTGTGACTATTCCTGGCACTGGCAAACCTGGATTTCATGACACGAAAGTAGGGCGAGTCGAAAGCCATGTCCTTCATTTGGGGCAAAGGCTTCAGTGTTTGAACAACTTCGCTCATTAGAGGTCTGGATTTTGGATCACGGGAAAGACAAGTTGCAGCTAGCTCAACTGACTTCTGTGCTCCTTTAACGGAAAAGTGACCTTCAAGGCACGGATCTATCACCCGATAAAACCTACGCCTATCTGATAGAAATGGCCGTGCCCATTCAACCAAGTTGTGTTCCCCGTTTCTTTTGCTCCTGTCCATGGATCTCCGCCCAGACAACATCTCGAGTAAAACTACCCCAAAACTGTAAACGTCACTTCTTGATGTCAGATGTCCTGGAACGCAGAAAATCTGTCAAGCATCATTTCTTGGGAAACGGGTGAGAGAACAGGATAGTAAACACGAGAAAAGGAACATAAAATTTTCTTGAAAAGAATCCCAAACTAATATGGTCAAATATGAAGATATTATGCTAATTAGTTTGCACCTTAAATCTCTCCTTAAACTCATTACCCTCGTCCACCCCTCTTCTTTCCCATTCCTCTGGGCATCAACTTGATTTTCAAGAAAAAAAAAAAAGCTTGGAAGGGAAGTTTGGTCTACTGTTCCCGACTTTCTAGACTTCTAGTCCTTCAAAGAAATAGATGCAAGCTATAGAAAATTTCATAATAAACAGTTGATTTAGGAAGTTTTTCTTTTCTGCCAAAGAAACAAAGTATTTCTTTTGTGTCAAATTGTTGGGCGGAGGCCGGTAAAGGGCCAAGTCCATCAATTAGTGCCTAGGAGGATTGTTGGGCAGAGGCCAGTGCAGGGCCAAGTCCAGCATTCTGCCTCTCGAAAATGTGATAGCGATCTATAAGAAAATAAAGTTGCGTCTTCGCTAGTAGCTATAGCTTTTGGCGTAGTGATAAGCACTTGATCCTAACAAGTGGTATCAGAGCAAAGCTAGCTACGGGGATAGAGAACTGAAATACAACATTACAGATCAAAGAAAAAAAACAAGAATAAAGTGTAATCTAGCTCACCTGTCATGACATACTCGGGAGCAGCATAACCATAAGTTCCCATTACTCGTGTTGATACATGAGTCTTATCTCCCTCGGGACCATCTTTGGCAAGTCCAAAATCAGAGAGCTTTGCATTGTATTCCTAAAAGGCCAAGCGCAGAAGAAATGCTATAAGTTGGGGTGTATAGAAACACTAAAATGCATATTAGGGATTCAAACTGTATACCGCATCCAATAAGATATTAGATGCCTTAAAATCTCGATATATAACAGGCCTTTCAGCTTCTTCATGGAGGAAAGCAAGCCCCATTGCAGCACCTAAAACGATTTTCATTCTTATGCACCAAGGAAGCGGCAGCGATCCTAAAGCGCACGAGAAACATATAAAGCAACTGTAATGGCAAGGACAATTGAACCAAAACAGTAATAATAACACGAAGTGGCTCTTCCAAATGGGAGGTCAGTAGTACTCAGAAAAAGTATAAAACCCAAGACATACTCTTGAATAAGTGGTTTTCCAAACTTCCTCGGGGCATAAACTCATAGACGAGCAATCTTTGATCATCTTCCATGCAATAGCCAATTAGTTTTACCAAATGTGGGTGTTGGAGTTCACCGAGATAATTTACTTCAGCCTGTCAAACGAGGAACGACTTGTAAGTGAGCAGAAGAAAGTCGACAAAACGCAAATGTTAATCCAATCAAAACGAAAAACGCCACAGCAAATTAAGCATATATATAATGTTTCCATACATACAAGCCACTCCTTATGACCCTGAAGTCCATTTTGATTGAGAGTCTTCACTGCAGCAGGGAGTCCCGATCCAGGCCTTACTGGCGTAAATCCATTTGCATTGATCCAACCTTTGTAAACAGACCCAAAGCCTCCCTCGCCAAGAAGACATTCGGGTCTGAAGTTCCTCGTTGCTGCTTTTAGTTCATTATAAGTGAATTTCCGAAGCTGAGAGGCGATTTTCAGTTCCTCACCTTTGTTAGGAGCAACTGGAGATGATAAAACTAAAGCAACTGGAGGGTCTGTATTGGTATCACTAAAACCTTTGGTATCTGCTTAATTGTATATGTAACAGAAAAATCATGTAATATATTAATAAGACCATACACTGAGAAGATTAACATAATGCAAATAAGGAACATTGCAAAAACATCTCATAGAAAAATCATTAAAAGACACCTGAAATTTCAAGAAAACATATGTGGAACCAACAAACAAGGAAACTATGTATATCAACAGAGAAGGTGGTTTTACCATGGTGTGTAACAGAGCTATCTACTCTAGACCTTGATGGCATGCAGTTCCCCAGAAAACACAAGTTAAACCAACAGCAACTCTGCTCAGCACCGCCATCATCATCATTATCATTATTCTTCCCCATTCCAGACTTTGATTTGCCCATTCCTGAAGACTTGGCATTGCCAGCTTCTTCAGGACCTGAACCCATTTTTCTTCCTTTCAAATCTCAAAAACTGAATTCTTCTATATCTATAGCCAAATCAAGAATTTAAGGGGTAACCCGTAACCCCAGCCAACAAGATAACTAAGAATACAAACTTGTAATCACAAGGTCACAAGTTCAAATCTCAGTCTTCTTGATTTGAGTTTTTCTCAGAAAAGAAATCAAGAATTTAATACATAAGATACAGCCCCATTGACTCTGACACAATCCAAAGATTCTTGCTTTTTGTGTTCGATTCAGAGATTCCAAAATCGTTAAAACTGAAAAGTTAGCTGACCAAGCTCCAGAAAAGAAGATTAATTGATGAAAGAGGGCGCAAATGGAGTAGTGAAATCGCAGAAAAGATGTGCAGAAATGAGAGGGACAAGGCGAGCCCGGAGAAAAGGAAAGCCGTCTGACATTGAAAAAGATGAACTCGGTTACCAATACGGAGAAGGAAACGGACAAATACCCAAAGCCGAATCGCAGGTGAGGATTCAGAATCAAATTGTGAGTACACAGAACAATGGTTTTCTCGCGGAGGAGTATATGTACACCCGCGAAAAGACAGAAACAGCGTAGTCCCTAATATATATATATATATAATAAATAAAAGTAGTTTGGGAGATAGAGACGACAAAGACGACTAAGGCGACTGGAGTTGCTTTCAAGTAAGGCCTACACAGTTTTGCCCGGAAATGGTGAAATCATCGCCATTGAACTTGTAACAGTTCTGGAAAATGCTAATTTCTATTCAACAGTTATGCTACACATTTTATCTAATAATGTAACGTATTAAAAGAGGCGGTTTGTTACTTCCCATCAATTAACTTCTTGATGTTGCAATAGCTTTTGATGGAATTAATAGTTGTTTAGTTGCTAAAACCTTGTGGTTTAATGACACTAAGTTGCTCTCGTGAGAGGTTGTAGATTTGAGACTCTAGCGAAATATAAAGTACATTGCACTCTCAAATGTCATTGGATGTACTTTGTAGTATTGCTCATTACACTTTACAATGTTGTTTATTAAACATTAAACTTTGAGATATTTGTCAAACGATTATTGCTTTTAATCCTTACTTTAGAGTTATTGGTCATATCTAAATCGACGATTATGATGCATTCTTAGTTTTCTTGTGAGCTCTAATTTTTATTTGATTTGTCTCATACATACACGAGTCATTGTGGGGATAGCATACACAAATTTTTTTAAAGGTGAGAGTTTTCATATTGTCTCAAGGAATTCAACTTTAAGGAAATTTCATAGAACGTTTCAAGATCATATCAATGATCTTTAAAAAAAAATAAAAATACATTTTTTAAAAAGAAATTACGTTAATTGGGAAGGATCCTTGGTTACCTGCTGATGACATCTCATATGTCCAAACTGTGCTGCATGAGACCATCTCCAATGCACCCGTGGTATCTTTATTGAATGAGCAAGGTACGGGATGGGATATTGATTGCGTTAATGATATTTTTTAGGAACGAGATGCCAAGTTAATCTTGAGTATTCCTATCAGTATCCGAAAGCCACATGACTCATGGGTTTGGCACTGGGATGCAAAGGGGGGATATACTGTAAAATCATGTTATAGACGCCAAATAGCGTTGGTAAATGATGATCGTCCGTAGGGAAAGATATGGAGTTTAAATGTACCTCCGAAGGTTAAGACTTTTTGTTGACAAATGGCTTCATCTTTTCTACCAACTCGAGATGCGCTTATAAGGAAACATGTCGATTGCTTGTTGGTTTTTTTTTTTGACCTTAATTTAATGGTGAGACATGCTCTTCTGTTTTGGGAAACAAATGAAAATCCTCCTGGACCAAATGCTACTGGTAATGTTGTTGTTAATTGGGAAAAGCCTCAGAGGGGGAGATTTAAATTGAATACGGATGCTGCTGTGGATTTAAGTCATAATATTATGGGACTTGGTTGGGTTCTTAGGGATGACAATAGGGTTTTTTTGGCTGCAAAAAATTTTCGAGTGCATGGAATTTATGGGGCCAAGGAAGCTGAAGCCCTTAGCATGAGAGAGGCTCTAAGCTGGTGAAAGATACGGGAACGGGTGCAATTGATGTGAAAATTGATTCTCAATTGATTTTTAAAGCAATATCTAGCCCGTCTTTTATTTTGCTTTTGGTTTATTAGTTGACGATATTAAAGAATTAGCATCGTTGATTATTGATGTTGAATTTCATTTTGCTAAGCGATCTGCGAATCGCGCCGCCCACATTGTTGCTCGGGAGGCCGTTTCTGTGTCAGGTTGCGGAGAGTGGTTGGATACCCCAGGGCCGTATTTGAGGCTATGCAAGCTGGGCTACCGCACAGGGCTCCCAATTTTAGAAGGCCCAGTATACCTAATATACCTCAGAATTTTATTTTTTTTTAAATTTACAATTAAACGTAAAAGGATTGAGAGGAATCAGAAGAGTTCAATTCATCTTTGGCGATGTTTCCTGATGTTTCTTCGTAAACAAAATTTTACAATACCCCAGGTTCCCGATGTTTCTTCGACGTCTCACGTCCGCAATTCATCTCTGTCTCTTAGTCGCTGTCCGCAATTCAACTCCACACTCCAGTGACTCCACGAACGGAATCGTCCGCTACTTTGAACCTTCTGTGTTTCTCCGTAGCAAAGTAGCAATTAGGCCGGTAGACTGCCTGCAATTTATTCTGCGTTTTTTTAATCAAATTTATTCTGCGTTTTTGCAGGCTTGTAGACTGTCGCAGGCGGGAGAGTGGAGATCGCACCGGCCACCGGAGTGCTGGTCGGCGTCCGTTAGGTCCGTAGGCAGTAGGCAGTAGCAGACGAAGAACATAAATAAAAAATAAGGGATTTTCGATCACGTTGTTTTAATCCTTTTTCACTATAAATTTTTTATTTTATATATTTAAATGTAAAATGTGTAATGTGTTTGATCTTTTCCTCTTTGTTAGAGTATTGTTGATTGATAACTTTGATTTCAATTGCTGAATTTGTGAATTGCATATTTTCATATTATGGCTCCCGACATTAGAAAACATGAATCTGGCTATGAAAAACGTAAGAAACAAAAAAATATTGAAGAGTTACAACGATTACAAACAGGAGCATTAGATAAGTTTGTAATGATAATAATAGTAATAATAACAACAACAACAACAACAACAACAATAATAATAATAATAATAATAATAATAATAATAATAATAATAATAATAATAATGATGATGAGAAGAACGAAAGAAAGGAAATGAAGTAAAGAAAAGGAGAAGAACGAAAGAAAGCAAAGAAAATGAAATGAAATAAGTCGGATCTGCATAGCAAGAATTGAATAGCAAACCTCTCGCACCTAATCACTCTTCACATGTGTCTATCTCTCACTCCTCCATTTGGAGAAATCCAAATTGGCATTCTCCAAAATTATATATAGAGTTGAAAAATAGAGAAGGAGTTAGACAATTGGAGAAATGATTCTAGTAAACTAAGTTTTTCATTTTCCATTCTTCCACCTCTTGGGTGGATCAGAAACTACGAGAGCCAGGATCACCATACTGATATGGTCCCCTACGAGGGTAGAAATGCCCATGCGGGTATAACATTGCTCTCGAGCTAGCATGATGCTCATGTGGGAAGAAATTGCGGATCTCCATTACCAACGTCTGTAGATTTGCAATTCCTTCAGTCAACTGACTTATTGCAGCGCGTTGGTCTTTTTGTTTCGCCTGCATAATATCTAGTCTGGCTAACAGTTGTTTCTCAAAATGAGAAAGCTCTTCCTCAGCTCGATTAGCACCAGAACCTTCAGCTTCATCGAACAGCTGCTCCACCTCATCATCAGTCCCTACATTTTCAGTTCTTGATGTCCTTGGGCGTTTACCCTTTTGTCCTAGCAGTGATCTCTTCAAAGTATTCCCCACTGCGGTAGGAGTAAGCATTCTAAACGAACCAGCAATTGGATTTTCCAATGGTATTTGATACCCGCAGTTCCGAACTATTCTTGTGATGAATGGCCCAACATAAATTGAAGGGACTTGCGGTTGGAACTGGCTACGGAAGAGATGTGCCACCACAACTCCCATGTGAATTGGGACTTGTTTGATGATCCCATATAGACAAAGATAATCCATTGTAGACACTTTGCTTCCTGCCTCCCTACCACAAATGGAGCGTGAAAGAACATATTGGATCACTTTATACTCCTCTTTTGTGAAGGTAACAGTGATATTGTGAGGAACCTGAGAGGCTTTGCGAGATCCTTGAGCAGTTGCTATTTCATCTTTGAACTCATTCTCGTTTCTAAGGAAGGTGAGCCTCTCAAAGTTGGCTTCCGGTGAGTAGCCCTGTAATGCATCAAAGTTTAAGAGTCTGCTGAGGTCATCCATTGTGAAATGCATGATCTGAGACCCTAGTCTAAAGGAGATTGCTAGTGCACTTGGGACATTGAAAAGCCGATGCACCTTCAACGTGGCCATCACCTCGTGGACCAAACCAGTGTGGATATTTTCCTTGAATTCAAATAACATATGCCTCCATTCTGGGCTTACAATTAAGTTATCCACTGCCATATCCAACCCAAAAGGCTTAAGGGCCTCTAAGTCAATCAGCAACAGAGGTAAGATGGGCTTCTTTTTGAACAAAATGTATCTCTCAGCAAAATCCTTCTCAGTGAAATTCAGTTTGTCCGACCCAAACTTAGGAGGGATTGTAGGTGAACTACGTTGAGCCATTTGCTTAGCCCTTCTTGTCTGTAAAATAGATAATACCAGTACAAGCTAATCATCATAAAACATTGAGTAATAGGACCCAGATAGAATATAATAGCATTCAATCCACAACATAGGTAACCTTAACATAATCTCAAAAAATATATATACTTCAAAGGCACTGGTTTTTTTCCAAAATTACGCATCAAACTAAACAAAGCACAATAGCCTCAATTGAAAACAATGTAAACATTCAATGCACTATTCTCTAATGAAAAGATCACTCAACAATAAAAATCAACTATCAATAAAGATCATTCAATGCACCAATCCAAAATCACCCATCATGCTACCGATGCCCCAATAAGAGTATCAAATCTAAATAAATTTTAGCACTAATTATGCAAGAAAACACGCGAACACCATAAACATGAAAGACTAAAAATGAACATTGCACAGATAATACTCTAACAACAAAAAATGTAAAAATTGAAACAAATAAGCAAACCAAGTTAATGAGACATACCTTAGGAGCCATCGGAGATGAAAGTTGAAGCAAAAACAAATCCCAAATAGAAATCCTAGGAGGAAATTCGAACTAGAACACAAAGGGAAAAAAATCAAA